TCGACGACTCTTCTCTCTTCCCGGCTCTGCGTGGACTCATTAATAGCGTGCCTCCCACGGGCTCGGCGTCCCCTGGCCTAGGTCCCTGGCCACAGAGAGTGGCGCCGAGGCCACCGCCGCACAGAGGTGCATCGACAACTCCCTGCCGGGCTGGTTTAGGCCTTCCCCGGCGTTTCCCTCCCCTATTTGTTTGCAATAAAAATTAAAATTCCTGAGTAGAAATGCTGCACTGAATATCACTAACCACTGAGTTAGAGATGATACTGATTGATGCCTTTTTAAAAATCGAGATCCACATGAAAAGATACATTAGTGAAATGCAAATTAAAACCACGGTGAGATTATCACTACATACGTAACAGACTGGCTAAAATTAAAAAGTAGTGACAACGCCAAATACTGACACGGATGCAGAGATATCAGATCACTCACACACTGTGGTAGGAATGTAAAATATTATAGCCGCTATATAAAACAATTTGGCAGTTTCTTATAAAACAAAATATGCAATTACCATATGACTCAGTAATTGTACTCCCGGGCATTTATCCCAGAGAAATATTTATGTACACACACACACACACAAATACCTTTACAAGTGTTCACAGTGTCTAAATTCGTGATAGCTAACATCTGGAAGCAACCCTGTAGTAGACAGAATAATGCCTTCCCAAAAAAGTTCACGTTCTAATCCCCGGAACCTGTGAATATATTACCTTATATTAGGGGGAAAAAATGATAAAATAAAAAATCTTGAGAAAAGGAGATTAACCTAGATTACATACATAAAAGTGGCCACAATGCTTTGCAGTTTCTCCTGTCAAGAGATAAAGTCAGACTGTGATAGAAACAGGCATGTCACTTGGTCTGCATGACCTGGCAAATGCTATGGTGCTAAGAGTTTGCTGTGGTGAGTTAAAATGCTGTAAGGAGTCTCTGTTATGTCCTAATCAGAGTCACAGTATAGATCCCTACAGTTCTGGAGCCAGACCATATACTGTCTTCTGCAAAGAAACTGTATATTATTTGACAAGTAACTCCTGGCACACTACTGAATCCTAAAAAGAAACTAAGTGCCAAACCTTGGGACATTAAGTGACTAAGAGACCAGCGCTTCCTATCATAAGGCGGATATTTAGCCAGACTCACCAAGTCATAAACTCAGTTGGTAAAAGAAATTCATCCCTCAATGGAAGCAGTACAATTGGGACTGGATCATGGCAGGTCTTAAAGACACAATGAAGTTGCACAAAGAAAAAGTCTAGGCCCCCACGCCACTTATTTATATTGAATTGAAGCTTCTCCATCAGTTCACACCCATAACCTAATAGAGAGTATCCTATGACCAGCTGATAAAAGAAGAAAAAAAAAAAACCTGGGCCTGGTTCACAGACGAGCTCAACATCTTGGTTCCAGCTGAAAATAGACTACTGTTGCACTAGAACCCCATTCAGGGGTGGCCCTGGAAAGACAATGATGAGGGCTTCAAAGACAGGGTGTGTAATGCTTCAAGCAGGGCACCTGGTGCATCACCTTGGTGTAAAAAGAGAGATGGCCTGAGTAAGAATATATATGGACCTGTGAACAGTAGTAAACAGCTTTGATCATGGACTTAGAAAGGAAATGCAAAAGACCTGAAGAAGCAGCAGCACATAAATGGACCTATGGGAGTGGAAACAAAGGGTACAGCTTTTTCCATCACATGCCAATGTCCACCAATGAGCATCCGCTGCAGAGAAGGCACTCAACAACCAGGCGGATAAGACAACTCTTCCTGTAGAGGTCAGCCAACTTCTGTCCTTGTCAACATCATGCTTTGCACATTATGCCCAGGAACACAGTAGCCGTGTTGGCAGCATTGGAGGCTGTTCATTCATCTAATAAAACAACACGGGCTCCCTCTTGCCAAAGCTCATGTAGCTACTACTGCTGCTGCTTGTCCGATAGGTCAGCATCAGAGATCAATGCCAAGGCTCTGATATGTCACATTCCCAAAGGAGAACCACAGTTACTCGGTGGCAAGATGATTATATCTATCTCCTTCCACCCTGGAGGGTCAGCAATTCATCCCTCCTGGGATTCATACATATTCTATATGTATTATATTATATATATTATATATATGGCTAGCATTGCCTGCCTATAATGCCTTTGGTGACACCACTATCAGTGAACCATTGGAATAGCTGACTTATAATGGAATCCTGAATAACATCACCTTAGACATAGGGACCTGCTTTTTAGTAAAGAAAATGTGAAGTAGGTACCTTATTAAAGGATCCACTAAAATTATCATAAATTTAATCACATAGAAGCTTGATCAAATATTGGAATGGCTTCTGTATTCGTTTTCTCTGCTCTGTAACAAATAATCACAAACTCAGTGGCTTAAAATAACACACGTGTATTACCTCACAGTTCCTGTGGGCCAGGAGTCTAGGCCCAGCTTAGCTGGGTCTTCTGTAAGGCTACAATCAAGGTGTCAGCCAGGACTATCTGCTGGGAGACTCGATGGGGGAAGAGTTTGCCTCCAAGCTCCATTAGCTGTTACCTGAATTTGTTTCCTATGGCTGTAGGACTCATGGCAGCTTGCTTCTTCAAAGTTAGCAAGGAGAGGAAGACACAGAGAGTGAGTCTGCTAGCAAGACAGAGTCTTACATGCTGCAACATAATCTCAGGGGTGGCATCCCACTCTCCGAATCAATCAACCCAAATTCACCTTTAAAATGTCCTCGATGGAGAAATAAGAATTGTTAATTTTATTAAATATTGACCTTTTAGTCCACGTTTATTTAAGAGTTTGTGTAATGAAATGACAATTAAGTATGAAGCACTTCTGCTGTATACAGGAGTAGGACGGTAACTCAAGCAAACGGTACAACTGTTTGACTTGTTAGCTGAATTAGCTGCTTTTATCACGGGATTCCATTTTTACTTAAAAAGAATGACTAATAATCAAGTCATGGTTATTTAGACTTGCATATTTGGCAGACACGTTCTCAAAACTAGTCTGCAAATTTTAAGAAAAACAATTGACAGTATTTGTTGCCAATGATAAATTTTGAGCTTATAGGTGAAAATTTGAATTTTGGAAAACTTATATTTGCTATCATGAGCTCAACAGCTTTCCAATACTTAAATACTTTTCTGACAACAGTAGTGGTAGCATGAGAGAATGTGATTTTTTGATACTGTGCAATGAAACATGTCAACATTTGGAAACTCTGCCTGACTAAATGAACCAATATTTTTTCAGTGATTTACAAAATTATGCATGGCAAAAAGATCTATTTGAAGTGAAAGACAGACCAATGGGTTTTAACGCAATAAGTATAAAAAGTTCAAAAAGTTTTACACTCCACATTGCAAGAAACTACTACTTGTCAAGTTTTGGTGTATTAGAAAATGATTTTTTTAAATCCACAATTGCTCAAAAAGGTTATTAAAATACTCCTCCCTTTTCCAGCTGTCTGTGTGAACCTGGGATTTTTTTCAAATACTTCAACCAGAACAATAAATTTCAGAAGAGAAGGATAACCCTTCTATTAACTCTTCTATTCAGTGTGCCTTTACTCTAGGGACATCTTAGCCTTCATATTGAGGTGTGAGCCTTGCGGAGTCTCTACTGATTAAACGGAGTTTTCAGTGAGGTCCCACCTCTCTGGATGGATGAAACTGGAATGTCTCCCAGCACTGTGTGGGCTCTGCGACTTGTTCACCTTATAGTTCCCTGCAGATGTGCTTTGCCTGGCCTCCTGGAAATTTAACCTACACATGTGCAGCTCACTATTCAGCCAAAGACTAAAATGGATTGCTCTGCAGAGTTCTGGAGTTCTTTCTCTGCATATCAGCAGGGATCACTAAACTTTATCTGAAAGTGACAGATAGTAAATATTTTAGGCTTTGCTCTGCCACATAGTCTTTAAAAAACACCTCTTTAAAAAGGTGTAAATCATTCTTATCTTAGATCAGTACAAAAAGAGGCTACGTCTGGAACTGGTCCGCAAACCATAGTTCACCAACCCCTGCTTGCTCTACAGTATTCTGACCTGCGAATTCCAGATACCTGGCTTTCCTGAACTCCAATCTCCTTAGCTTTGTGATATCATCATGCTCTGTTTGGGTTTCTCTCCCTGGGCCACCTGCAAATTGCCTCTGCTGAGGAAGCCCGGATAATGACAGGGTTTCTCTCACTCGTTTCCGTCTCTCTCAGATCACTACCCTGTGCTGATTATTGTCCTGATGTCTGAGAAATTACTTCTATTCTGTCTACTTTTCTGGTTGTGTTTAACGGGAAAACAAGTCCCCATGATATAAATTCCAGATTTTTTTTTTTAAATAGCAGAAAGCTTAAATTGATCTCTAGGTCTCTA